TAGGTCGTCCAATACCTCATGAACACACTTGCAAACCATTTTCTAAAAAAACTGACTGTTAAATCGCAACGATAGTTTTGCAAGTAGCCTTATAATATCTATGACACACAAATAGCGGTATTCTCTAGTCCATAAATGCTCATGTTGCTGAATGCCAGCCAGTTCCTTTGATCTTTTCAAACCATTGTAGATAAGTGGGGTGGATTTATTTTTAGATATTTCAACAAAAATCTGAATATCCTGCTCTATTTTTGGTCAGAGGCATATCTTTATAATAGTTTTCTAGACAATGGCTTGCAATTGTGTTCATGAGATGTAGAACATGCATTGGAACACACAGGAGCAGAGACACAATGGCAGACGAAACACACACACACCCACACACATACGCGCACACACATACACACACATGTAGAAGGTAGCTAGAAAGTGAAGTTGAAAATATAGCGAGGACATATGGTGAGGTATGTGTGGTAGCAAAGGATATGGCCACTTTGCGTGTGTTGGTTGGGGGCATATGATCCACTGGGGGATAAAGGTAAAAGAAGATGAAGATTAAGAAAAAGAAAAAAAAAAGAAGAAGAAGAAGGAGAAGAAGAAGAAGAATGAAGAAGAAGAAGAAGAAGAAGAAGAAGAAGAAGAAGAAGAAGAAGAAGAAGAAGAAGAAGAAGAAGAAGAAGAAGAAGAAGAAGAAGAAGAAAAAGAAGATGAAGAAGAAGAAGAAGAAAAAGAAGAAGAAGAAGAAGAAGAAGAAGAAGAAGAAGAAGAAGAAGAAGAAGAAGAAGAAGAAGAAGAAGAAGAAGAAGAAGAAGAAGAAGAAGAAGAGGAAGAAGAAAAAGAAAAAAAAGAAGAAGAAGAAGACGAAGAAGAAGAAGAAGAAGAAGAAGAAGAAGAAGAAGAAGAAGAAGAAGAAGAAGAAGAAGAAGAAGAAGAAGAAGAAGAAGAAGAAGAAGAAGAAGAAGAAGAAGAAGAAGAAGAAGAAGAAGAAGAAGAAGAAGAAACAGAAGAGGAAGAAGAAGAAGAAGAAGACACATACACGCTCGTATATGCATACAAGGTGTATTTTTAATGACTGTATATTTTGAAAATATTGCCATTGCAATTTTTATGACCGCTCTCTGGGAGGTTAATGCAACATATACAGCTATAGTGTGCTATTTTGTGTACTGTTTTGTGTACTATTCGCAATAGAATGGATTCTACTAGTAAAATTGCTAATAGTATTAGGATGAGGTTTATACGATGTCAATTCAGGAAATGAGATCATACATTGTTGAACAACCACATTTAAATACCTTCCACCGTTGAAAGGAACCCTCACTCTTTCTTCAATAGTTAACACGATAACAGCTAGTATAAATTACTAAACCATATGCATATAGCAAGGATATTCTAAACTACCTGTCGGATAACGCTTGAAACATGACGTAATGCACACATTTTGTTACGGTGCCCAAATATTGGATTTAAATAAATCTACACTCATTAAACATAACCCTATATATATATATATATATATATATATATATATATATATATATATATATATATATATATATATATATATATGTGTGTGTGTGTGTGTGTGTATACATATATACACATTTGTTTTCTCCTAGGGGTAAGTTTTTCAGCACTGCTGTAACAGACAATTTGTGTTGAGTACCTATACCAGTTTAAGACACTTGTGGTGCGTGTTTAACAATATGGCGTAAACTCCTGTACGGATAAACATGAATTTTTGCGAGTAAACTTAAAGTTGCCCTGTCTTTATGACTTTATAATTTACAATTGCACAACTGCTGCTGATTTGTAGAAACATAAAATTCATTTGATCTTCGTTTGACAAATAATATGTGTAACCCATTAAAAAAAAAAAAAAAAACCTTAACAAACAGAACATACAGTAACTGACGCACGTATGGTGATTGTTTCAGTTCAGTGATTGAAATCAGTTCATCTGTGCAGCGATGCGTGGTGACTATTTTGAAAGCCTATCCTGCATACAATGAAGAAACCACAACTCACACGAGGCTAATGCTGGATTAGATATCACCTCTCCACCCCCCCCCCTTTCCCCCCAAAAAAATAAGATACTCGGGGGGTTGTGTGGTCAACAGCACGCAAGCGCCAGCCGCCTTTTATTCCTATGTTTTTTATACTCGGGGGGTTGTGTGGTCAACAGCACGCAAGCGCCAGCCGCCTTTTATTCCTATGTTTTTATTACCCCCGACATGCGGATCCGCAACCGATCGTCTAGCCGTTACACCAGGGTGGTTCCCAGGTCATATAGTTCCAGGGGTTAAACAGCGCGCTTAACGGAAAGCGAAAACAAGATGCATTTCTGAATGGGTGAACACCACTAGGAGACTGATGGGAAGAATGTGAGCTGAGTACACGAGTTGATTTGAGTTGATTCAAGAACCGACATCACAGCACTCGGGGCATTTCCATAAGCGCTCCGTTCCTATCTTCAGCAGCCAGTGAAGAATTCCTATACTAATGGGGCCAGTAGCAATCTGTTTAAACGTCCGTCTTGCCTTTCCTCTGAGCCTCGAGCATCTGCCAGAACATATCCGTCACTCCCCCCTGTATCAATCTCACCATCAATATCATAAGACTGCGGTGGTCCATCTACTCCTCCGAACTGTACACGCTTCCTACAAGGCACTAACCACGTCTGCCTTATCATGCATCAGTATTTCACCAAGTTGTCTGTCCGCTTGTTCATTTCCCAACACACTGGTATTTCCTGGTTTAAAAAAAAAAAAAACAATGTTCCTGACCCGTGACCTCCGCATTGAAGCAAAAGATAAAAGATACAGGAATGAGCTCTCACATTCATCACCTTTACAAAATCTACAAAAGGCTAAGGGCTCCGGCTTCCCTCCACAACCACGTTTGGAAGGTTTCTGTTTAACTTTTGTTAGTTGCGTATTCTTTACAGAACGTTGCAGAACCAACGCCAGCCTTTTTTTGGCTGTTGTGGTTTTTGTAGGCAAGTTTACGTCCAGTGGTTTGCCATTGCTTTCTGAGTGGTCAGCTTCTCAATACCACTGTCGGAACCAACTCAGAGCGCAAGCTCCGCAGCTGGAATCAAACCCAGCACCCCAGCATTAGGAAGCGCGATCGCAACACTTTTTTTTTCACATATCATTTTATTTTAAATACATTATTATGGTGTACTGGCAGCCACCGTGGTGTACCGGCAAGACTATAAAACCACATCTCCGCTGCTTCCACATAATTATTCACTAGCTGGCCAATAGTCCATGATTTACTTTCACGTTATGTTACCTCAATCGAAACCACAGTACCTTGATAATTCATTCGCTTACTCAGTCCACCGATGCAGCAGCCACACAAAGGTACATCTATCAATTGTTCTTTTATGCAGTTAGTTATAGTGTCTCCCGTCTCAAAGATTGCACCCACGTGCTTTACCAGGCTTCACTGTGTGGTCACATGCTAGCTTTTGCGCCAACGATTTTTATTATACTTTAGCGTAGTCCATGCAGTATTAATAATATTATTTCTGTCCATGAATATGCGTGTGTGCGGGGTAATGAGCAGGCTGACAGACTGGTGGCTGCTGCTCTTCTGGGTGGCGAGCTACTGTATAATAACCGAGTTTAAGTTGGACATTACAACAGAACAAACCCTAGCATATCCACTGATCGTTGTCTACCAAGGAAGAAGACAGAGTATGCACATATTTGATTCATTCATGCATATCCCGCAACCGTTTGTTGCCTTGTAGAACTGAGGGCTAGTTGTCGTATGATGTCGTACCGCTTAGGAATTTATTGTTTGCCTATATATAAAAAAAAAAAAATCAATCTTAACGAGGTCTCGAACTTAGGACTACTCGACAGAAAACTATACAGACACTTAGCAATCCAAGTTTATCCCGACGTAGTTACTATGTGGCCATAGAAGAAACTAAATACCGTACACCAACGTTTCTTATCTCTCCCAACCCCCTTCCCCACCCAGTTTTTATTGGTAGACAATTTATATCACAGGGTTATCCTAAATGGCTTGATCTTTCACCCACTACGGCTAGCCATTTGCTTACCAGAAGCGTACACTTATTAATCCGACGAAGGCCCGTAAAACCCGCTAGTTTCTGAGCACAAGGCAAGCGGCTTGACTACTTTGCCCATCATAACGTTCAATCCCTTGTAGAGGCCGGATGATTTGTTTCATTTGTATGATAGTTCATTGTTAGCCATTTCATGATGAAAATGTGGGACTTTTTAAACGATGATTCGTGGCCGATTTGCAGCTAAAGCGTCCTATCCACTACATAAGTCAAGTCTTAGGACAGTTATAGTAGTTTATAGTGTTGTAATTTCTGGTTTCCACTAGAAGCTACGGAAACACGACGGCTTGGCGCGTTTGTGACCATTCCTCCTAATCTACCCCCTCCCACACACAAAAAACACACGCACGCATGCAAAGTCTAGCTGGTCAAGCTCCTTTTCAGGTAATAAGATTTCCTGTTCTTGATCTTTCCTTCCTGTGTCTGGACTGTTTTTGGTGTGTGTGTGTGTGTGTGGGGGGGGGGGTGTGCGTGTGTGTGTGTGTGTGTGAAAAAATATATATATGTGTGTGTGTGCATGAGAAACACACGCACACTCACACAGAGAAGAGAGAGAGAGAGAGAGAGAGAGAGAGAGAGAGAGAGAGAGAGAGAGAGAGAGAGAGAGAGAGAGAGAGAGAGAGAGAGAGAGAGATGATTGTGTGATACGACAACCAGTCTGTTTTCCTATACTGTCTTTTGGCGGTTATCTGCCTGTCTAAAGATTAGTACATCCGTCTATTTACCTGTCTATATATCTGACTGTTAATCTGTCTAAATATACGTTAAGTCTGCGTTATCTCTGATAAACTAGCCCAGTAATCCGATGAGAATATTGATGTTAATGTTGATGAACTATGTGACTTTTTAATCCGATGATTATGGCGGTGTGGATGATTATATACAGTTGACTAACCTGAAAAAAGACGACCACTTTGCACATGACCTCGCCCATGTACCAGGTCTCCGTGACTGACTGCAGAACTGTCGGCGGTGAGCACAGAACGAGCACAATAAAATCGGCCACTGCGAGATTCATGATAAACAAGTTGGTCACCGTCTGCATGTGCTTGGAGCGGACCACCACGAAGCAGACCAAGAAGTTGCCCAGGACTCCAACAGTGAAGAGCACCAGATGGAGGCAGATGAAGAGCCATTCCATGGGCGTTGGGAAGATGTAAGATCTGACACATTCCAATGTGAGCTCCAGGCTGAAGCAGACGTCAACCTCACAGACGTTCTGGCAGGCGTAGAAGTCGTGTGGTTCTAGAGACATAGCCGAAGCCATGAAGAAGATGTTGGTTGTCAACTGTTGTTATCCTGGCAAAGCGTTACAGTCATAGTTTCTTGGACAGTACATTAGATGCAATATGGGTTGCTCGACACAAAATTACTTTTGTTTTTGTTTTTTGAAGAAAAAGATGAGCACATTAACTTTTAGGGTCCCACGCAATGCAACGTTAAGGTTTCTAGAGTTTAAATTCCAAACACAGCGTTTTGTATTCCTTAACTTTCACAAATTTAAAACCATACTGAACATACTATTTCTAGTGTTCACTTTCACAGTGTATACTTCTCTATAAGACTTACCACTAATAAAAAAAAAAATTCCACCCTTTGAGCGTCAAAAACAGTCCATAAGTACAAATGTAACCTGTAAACATAGCGGTGCAAGACGTAAAGCATATTCTGTTGAAAACTGATGTCAATTTTCTTGTTATGTGATACTTTACTAACTGAAGCTAATAGTATTATGGCCAAATATATTAGACATAGGTTAGTTGCGTATCCTTTACAGGACGTTGCAGAACCAACCCTAACAGCCCCTGGCTGTTGTGTGGTTTTTATAGGCAAATTTACGTCCAGTAGTTTGCCATTGCTTCCTGGACGGTCCGTATTCTTGATACCACTGTCGAAACCAACGCAAGGCGCATGGCCCGCAGCTGGGATCGAACCTGGCATCTCGGCATTACGAAGCGTTTGCATCGACTTAGCCACAGAGCCGACACAACTAAAACGAAAAACACACTTCTTAAAATATAAATTTAAATAACAAATAATGCTATAAATCTTGAAAAGAAGATAAAACTAGGTGGAAATGGAGGTTACTAGCAGATACATATACATCAATATATGTCTATTTTAAACAAAATAAACTCAACATTTTCAAATGCTGATAGTTGGTATGTTTTCAACATTCATATAGTTTCATACACCGGAATCTCATCTATATTTGAAACAATGTTCACTATTTCTACAGTACAGGAAGCGAAGCTCACTAATTCTCTCGTCTGGCGAGTGACAAAGTCACTAATGTCTCTAACTGAGCATGTGCCGAAATGTAGTAATTTTTATTTTTTTTAGTATCCAGAAGCCATAAGTTGTTAACCCTCAGGATCGGTATTATGGATGTCTCAACTTTACGGCCTCGATTCCATGATAAATACCGTAAATCTGGTAGAAATGTGGCTTCTCTGCCTGCCCCCGGGCGTGAACCCGGACCACAAGGAGTTTGTCACCCGGTCGCCGCAAAGTCAGGTTTAGTCAGCTACGTTAGCGAGCCAGGCAAAATGTAGTAATAACTGGCCTAGTGACGAAACACATTGAATTCTGTTATTAGGCGACTGACAATGTACACTACATAAATGAAAAGGGTGACCACGCTCTCAACTTCTTTAGCTAAATAAGTGACTAACTATGGTACTGTGTCCAAACTGTACGAGTGAAGACATAATTTTAATTTTAATTGAACGTATGACGAAATAAACTATGGGTGACACTAACTCATTATATGCTAATTATGTCAATGATTTTGCGAACTCCAAATTGGAGAGTTTTACGGAGAGGAAAAAAGAATATTGATGCTGCAGTCTCCAGCTTCCAGACTGTAGTCTGTAAACCATCCCTTCTGAATTCTGCAAACAATTCCTTTTCACAACTTTAAATCTTCTTGTCTGTTAATGCTAATAAACGCCTAGACGTTTCTTTATCTTTTTAAATAATCCAAAATTGCTTCTAGGGTCCTACTAGAACGATTAGTATCGACACTTTGCGATAAAGAAGACTGAGCATCTACTCGTTTGCTCGGAGTTCTAAGATGTCGATTGTGTATTAATCATTGACGGGGAATACTTGCAACCATCTTGGAATCTTATTAAATGAACGCATAATCATAAGAACGAAGATTAGATGTCCTAAAAGAGCTGCGGGAGTTACAATAAAAAATACAATTAAAAATAAAAAACCTAGAAGACAGCTTTGCCCGAAAGCAAAAATACAGTTTACTAAAGAGCAGCCGAAGAGATGGTTTGGCTATCTGACGAGAATGCCATGGTACCAGCTGTCACATAGTGCCACGCTGAAGAAATAAAGACACAGAGCGTACAGAAGACCACAAAGAAGATGGTATTATGGTTTCAAAAATTATGGAAATGAAGACTAACTGGTTCAGCACACTGGAAAGAGCACAGGATACCTTTACATCACATCAAAACAATTCGATGAAGTAAATGGGGAAAGAGGAGACGAAGAAGAAGAAGAAGAAGAAGAAGAACAAGAAGAAGTAGAAGAAGAAGAAGAAGAAGAAGAAGAAGAAGAAGAAGAAGAAGAAGAAGAAGAAGAAGAAGAAGAAGAAGAAGAAGAGAAGAAGAAGAAGAAGAAGAAGAAGAAGAAGAAGAAGAAGAAGAAGAAGAAGAAGAAGAAGAAGAAGAAGAAGAAGAAGAAGAAGAAGAAGTATTAGAAGAAGAAGAAGAAGAAGAAGAAGAAGAAGAAGAAGAAGAAGAAGAAGAAGAAGAAGAAGAAGAAGAAGAAGAAGAAGAAGAAGAAGAAGAAGAAGAAGAAGAAGAAGCAAAAAAGAAGAAGAAGAAGAAGAAGAAGAAAAAGAATAAGAATAAGAAGAAGAAGAAAGAAAAGGAGGAGAAGAAGAAGAAGAAGAAGAAGAAGAAGAAGAAGAAGAAGAAGAAGAAGAAGAAGAAGAAGAAGAAGAAGAAGAAGAAGAAGAAGAAGAAGAAGAAGAAAGAAGAAGAAGAAGAAGAAGAAGAAGAAGAAGAAGAAGAAGAAGAAGAAGAAGAAAAAGAAGAAGAAGAAGAAGAAGAAGAAGAAGAAGAAGAAGAAGAAGAAGAAGAAGAAGAAGAAGAAGAAGAAGAAGAAGAAGAAAAAGAAGAAGAAGAAGAAGAGGCAGAAAAAGAAGAAGAAGAAGAAGAAGAAGAAGACGAAGAAGAAGAAAAGGAAAGCGAAATAAACGTTTTACAAAAATTGGTTTCTTACATCTTACCATACGTTACAAGTTTATATATATATCAGTTATTCTCTGTTAATAGTGGCGATAAGTTCTATATATACTATCCACGATTTGGGCTTTACATTCTATGCATAGTAAATCTAGCATTGCATATCTACTTTTAGTGTTTAACCTATATATATATATATATATATATATATATATATATATATATATATATATATATATATATATATTTATATACATACATAGACACAAACATACACACATGTATGTGTTATGCTATATATGCATTTATGATGCCTCCATTTTTCGCGATAAAGTCAATAAATAGCGTATACTTTTAGCAAAAACTACTATGTATACACTACCATTGGTTACAAATTTATATAAACGAGTGAGGTCTAATAATGGTGATAAACTTTGAATATAGTTTCAAGTTAACATAAATTATGTTTAATGGTGTTCATAAGTTCTTAATATAGTTATAAGTTTACATAAACGAATCGTGTTTAATGATGGCAATTGTACATACATGAATCGTGTTTAATTAAAGTTCTGAATATGGTCACAATTTTATATAAATGAAGTGTTTAATGAACCTGAAAAATTCTGAATTTAGTCACAATTTTATATAAATGAGCTGTGTTTAATGAACCTGATAAGTTCTGTGTATAGTTACCAGTTTATATCAGTGTATGGTGTTTAATTATGATAAAAATGATAACATTTCTATATAGAATATCTACTTTTAACGATAACTTCGACAAAAAGTGTTCACAAATACACTACCATACGTCATAAGTTTTGTATAAAGGAGGTGTTTTTCATGATGTCGATAAGTTCTGCATATAGCACGAACACTGTGGCCTTTAACTTCTCTGAATAATAAATATATGTAAAGACGTCCAGTTTATATAGAAATTATGACTATAACAGAACAGCATACTCCTACATCATCAATGTGTTAAGATGTAAATGGCTCCAAATGTCAAAGTTCCGATCGCCAGCCATGATGACGACGAACTGAAGACAGCAGCACACAACGCTATGAGATTTATCAGCTGTGCTTGGTAGTGTTGCGAGAGGGACTGATGTTTAGCTGTGTGACGTGACCTAGCCTGGAATCGGACACTGCCAATCTTGTCTCAGCGAAATCATGGGCGAGACTGCCAATCTTGTTTCAATGAAATGACGGGTGCCGAGTCTGGAACAAAACGGAAAGCAACGATTAAGGAAAACTGATTTCAGATATAGTTTTTTCTCTTTCATCTTAGCTGTTAAATCCGTTTTGTCTCCCACGTAAGCCCACCATAAAATGGGTAGGAGGTCATGTTCTGGGAAGTGAAGGCAGCCGGCGTAATGTTGACCACCTCCCCAAACAAGTACTCATTGCCCTATCATCATCATCAGGTGCCTTGCCGACTGGCGTGGGCGATCATGCCTCTCCATAATCTGCGATCTCCTGCAGCATGTATCAGTTCGTGTGCCGACACACCTCCATGCCATGCAACATGACTATCAAGCATCTTCTCTCGTTGTCTTCCTCTATCCCTCCTTCCACATATCTGTCCAGTGGTCACAACATGTTCTATTTTCACTCTTCTTATAACATGGCCGAAAAATGATGACTGTCTTCTTTTGATGTCTCATTTCCCTATAGGAATGTGATTCTAGCTTCCCATGCTGGTTGTGACACTGGCGTAAACGGGGTACTTTACTTTTTTTTATCTTTATCTATCTATCTATCTATCTATCTATCTATCTATCTATCTATCTATCTATCTATCTATCTATCTATCTATCTATCTATCTATCTATCTATCTATCTATCTATCTATCTATCTATCTATCTATCTATCTATCTATCTATATCTATCTATCTATCTATCTATCTATCTATCTATCTATCTATCTATCTATCTATCTATCTATCTATCTATCTATCTATCTATCTATCTCTATCTATCTATCTATCTATCTATCTATCTATCTATCTATCTATCTATCTATCTATCTATCTATCTATCTATCTATCTATCTATCTA